CCGCACCCGCCGCACACACGAGGTACCTTTCGTCGCCGGCTGCAACCACTTTACACGGAAAAATGCATAAAAATACAAGGTTTCGTGCTCCGGCTTCCTCCCCCAACACATAGCCCATGCAACATTCATGCAGCCATTCCAATGCGATCTGCCACCACAGCTTCAAGAAACGCATAGAACTAAGCACACAGGAACAACCACTCGTTGCAAATTCACATATAGAAGAAACCACTTCGCGACAGAAACGACCCCAGCCGCACCCGCCGCACACACGAGGTACCTTTCGTCGCCGGCTGCAACCACTTTACACGGAAAAACACAAGGTCTCGTGCTCCGGCTTCCTCCCCAACACATAGCCCATGCAAGATTCATGATTCATGCAGCCATTACAATGCATTTTGCACCTCCCTTCATCAAGGTCAATCCTTTTGTGATGTATTGTTATGTGATGTCAAGTCTCACATCGCCCTTCATCAATGTCAATTCTTTTGTGATGTATTGTTATGTAGTGCAAAGTCTCACACCGCCCTTCATCAAGGTCAATTCTTTTGTGATGTATTGTTATGTAGTGTAAAGTCTCACACCGCCCTTCATCAAGGTCGATTCTTTTGTGATGTATTGTTAGGTGATGTAAAGTCTCACACCGCCCTTCATCAAGGTCAATTCTTTTGTGATGTATTGCTATGTACTGTAAAATCTCACACCGCCCTTCATCAAGGTCAATTCTTTTGTGATGTATTGTTATGTGATGTAAAGTCTCACACCACCCTTCATCAAGGCCAATTCCATCAGGTAAAAGTCATCCGTACTTCGGAAGTATTGCTTCCCAACTTCCTTTGATAATAGATAGACAGGGAGACAGACAGACAGACAGACAGACAGATAGAGAGGTAGATAGATAGGTACATAGATAGATTGATGGATTGATAGATTGATAAGTTGGCACATTAGGTAGAATAGATAGATCCGTAATCAGATAAAGAAATAGACAGATAGATAAATAGATAGAAAGATTGATTGATTGATAGGTAGATAGATAGACAACTACAAGTGCAACTACAACTACAACTACATCTACACTACACTACCCCTACAGCACAAATACGAATACAAATCCAAATCTACTACGCTACAGTACACTAATTACACTTCACTACACCAATTACACTACACGACACTAAAAAACTACACACACTGATTAATGTCAAGTCAGGATTAATCAACCCCTCTCGATTAATCAATCACCACTGCCACGAAATTTTTTGGTACTTTAGAAACAGGTGGTCCCCCCAGATTAATAGACACGTTGGCCTACCCCCGGTTAATAAACCACCTGTGTTGAAATGACTAATTATTCAGTCTTAAAAACCAATCACTGCTCCCATGCTGCCAAAAACCAACCACTGCTCCCATGCTGCCAAACCAATCACTGCTCAAATCTATGGCTCAATGGTTCAGGAGGTGCTCACTATTAAGGGGGGGACTAGGAAAGGCATCACAAGGTCTACCATGACCTATGGGGGGTTATTAATCCGATGTTGGCATTACAATACACTACACTGATTACACTACAACAATAACTACAACTACATCTACTGTTGGTGCTACAGCTACAACTACAACTGCAACTACACTACATTACACTACACTACAGTAATTACATTACACTACGCTACACTACACTTCACTAGACTACAACTACAACTACCACTAGAACTACAACTACAACTACACTACACTACACGAATTGCACCACGCTACGCTACACTACACTAGGCTACACTACAGTACGCTAACTGCAACTACAGCTACAACTACAACTACACTACTTTACACTACACTACAGTAGGCTACACTACAGCACACAACACCACTGCACACTACACTAGACTACATTTCATTTCATACACCACGCCACGAATACAACTGCAACTACAACAACACTACACCAATTACACTACACTACAGCTACAACGCGACTATGCCACAACTACAACTACAGCTGCACTACAACACACTACATCCAGCAGTTGTGGGTGAGGTGACCACTGCAACGCTTGGCAAGCACTCTAAAAAGCACAACTCCAACCACCTTTCCGTCCGTCAGTGGATTCGCTCTGCCATCCATGCATCACAACAACTCACCTCTCCTATAGTGTCCTATATTTGAAACTTCCGCCACCGCCTTTCGCGGTACTACTGGTATTGATGTGCGAAAAATGAACTTTTGGAGGGACCGTGGTCTCCAGGCAAGCCTCTGGCGGCACGTGCCAGCTTTAGCGGTTGGTGGAGGAGAGGTCTGCTATGTCCGGTACAGGAGTGGTACTGCCTTTTGCCCCTTCCAAAAAACCGTGTTGAGGTATGGTTATCGAAGAAAGTTTGGAAATCAAACTTCCGACAAAATGGACAAATGGAAAAGCAGAGGCGGGAAAGTCAGAGAAGCGAAGAGAAGAAGAGACAAGATCAGAGAAGAGAAAGAGTCAGAAGAAAGAAGATGCAGGTGCGCGAAGCTAGACAAGTCGCGAAACTCAGCGTTTTTCCAATGAATTGTGGCTCCGGGGGTTCGAAAAGTAGGCTCGCTAAAGCGGCGGGCGCGGAGCCATCTGCGACGACGACGACGACGACAACGACGACGACTACTACTACTACTACTACCACTACTACTACTACTACTACTACTACTTCTACTTCTACTACTACTGCTACTACTACTGCTACTACTACTACTACTACTGCTACTACTGCTACTACTGCTGCTACTACTACTACTGCTACTACTGCTACTATAAATACAAATTTACTACGCTACATCACACTACACTAATTACATCTAATTACACGACACTACACCAATTGCACTACAACTACAACAAATACTACTACCACAGCTGCAACTACAATTACAACTACACTACATTACACTACACTACGCCAATTGCACCGCAGTACACTTCAACTACAACTACAAATACAACTACAACTACACTACAATTCGCCACACTACACTACACTAGTTACATTGCATTACACTACAACTACAACTGCAACTACAATTACCGCTACAGTGCCCTACACTAAATTACACTAATTACACTACATTACACTACCCCTACAACTACACTTTTTCAAACTACACTACACTAGGCTAGACTACATTATACTACACTATAATACACAACACTACAGCGCAATACACTACACTAATTTCACCACACAACAACTACAACTGCAACCGCAACTGCAACTACACTACACTACTTTACACCACCCTACATCCAGCAGTTGTGGTGAGGTGACCACTGCAACCCTTGGCAAGCACTCAAAAAAGCACAACTCCAGCCACCTTTCCGTCCATCAGTGGATTCGCTCTGCCATCCATGCATCACAACAACTCACCTCTCCTATGGTGTCCTATTTTGAAACTTCCGCCACCGCCTTGTGCGGTAATGTGATGGCCACACATTCCATTTGGAAGCGTAAGTGGATGTAAACGACATTTCTTAGGACAATTGCCAAAATCCCAGTGACCTAGGTAACATTGGCAGGAGTGGAAAATATTTCAAGGATATTGCCACTATAGATTTGCAAATATTTGTTTATGGAGCGAAAGCCAAAATGCGCGCAAAGATGGGGTTTTGTGTGTGATAGGCAAGGTCTGTTGCCCATTGATTGGAAAAAAAGTTGGGGCCATGATTGACCCCGCTGTGCATTGGCTTTCAAAGGAGATGGACCCTCAATCCAGAAAAGTTTTGTACTGTTTGGGGATATGTAAATACATGTGAATAAGTTTTAGAAATAGAATAAATCACATGGAAGGCCACGCTCAAAGGATTGCACGAGGTGAGCTTACGTCACTTCATGGAGGTTGGATATTAAATCCATTTGATTGTGAGCTTCGTTGGTGAGTAGCGAATCAGATGGGATGGGAATTGCTTCAATAGGAATTGCTTCAATAGGAACTGCTTCAAAAAGAATTGCTTCAAAAGTGATAGCCTCATGGGCAGACCAGCTGTTTCCTCGGAATGCTGTGTTCTCAATAAGAGCTGAGGATGCGAGGTGGAGACATTTTGTCCAGAAATGACTTCAATAGGAATTGCTTCAATATGTGGGCCGGGTTGTCCAGGTGAAGGAACTTCAATAAGAATAGCTTCAATTGGTGGGACTTTAAGTCCTGCGAGCTCTGTATGAGCTTGTATAGGCAATTGGACTTTGAGTCCAGGAATGACTTCAATTGGAATTGCTTCAATAAAGAGGACAATGAGTACTGGAATTGCTTCAATAAAAAATGCTTCAGTATGGACATTGGGTCCTTTGGATCTGTTTCCCGGATGGGAGTATAATTGTCTGGGAGGAGGTGGCTGTGGAATGGGTATAATTTGTCGTAGGCAAAGAACTGACAAGGGTAATAGTGGAAAACATTGAGCACACCCTTAAAAAAACTATTTAATGTAAGATGACCAGCAGGGACTAAGAAGAGATACAAGCAAAGGTGCCCCTTGCACTTTGGCAAAGGTGGTGAAACAATTGGCAGATACAAGGAGCCGTGAGAAGGGCACATTGGCAAGTCGGTGAAAAAGGTCTCAGGTTGAGGAAATCGTTGATGTAGGCGAATGCGACCAACTTGATGGCCAGAGTAAACTGTTCGCCCTTTTCACATAAGGACAGGAGCCGCCCTGCAGCTAGGCCAGTGACATGAAGAATTAGGAACAATTTATCACGAACAAAGCGAGCACCCTTTGCACATAATGGCAGGAGCCACCCTGCAGCTAGGCCAGCGAAGAATAGCGGCACGAAAATTTGAACAAACGTGTATTGCCGCAATCAGGTCGATCAAATAGTCCATTGTAATGGCAAGTAAAACGCACGAAGGGGAAACAGCGGGAAGCTGAAAAGTGGCAAGCTAAAGCTTGTGCCAAATGCCTAGTAAATATGTGTATATTATACATATATATTAATTTCAGTTATTTCCTCCAATGGATGAGCAAACCACTGCTCGTCTC